GAGGCAGGGAGGAAGCAACTTACCCTCCCTCTTCTCCTGCCTCCTCCTGGCTGAATGAGGGCCGGAAGCGGGGCGGCCGGAAGCAGGGGGCGGGGCTTCGTCATGTGCCCAGCCCCCCCGTACCTCACCCGGGGGAACTGCGTTCCCCCGCGTTTCCCCCCGAAATGACCTCTGGACATGCCTAAGGTGATCTCCAACATCTGTGGAGCGGGCTCTTGAATTGGTGGACTCTCAAGCCATGTAGATCCGGTCGTGGGTGCCGAAGGTCAGGAGGAGGAAAAGGTGGAAGGAGTCCTTTAGAAATTGAGATAACGTCATCATTGACATGGGCCTAAGGTAAAACTAGCAGTATTATCTTTTAACACTCAACACAACTTGTCTGTGATGACTACATTTATCTTGTGGAGATGTAGGGGTTCTCTATATGAGTCTGGGCCAACATAAGCAGCTGAATGAGGTGGTGGAATGGGGCATTCTGTTGCTGAGTTGAAGCCATAAAGCTGAACTCCTTGCAAAGAGAAAGTTTAGCTTGGAAAGCCGTTCTGACCAGCCCGTCTCCCAGAGTGCTAGAGTTCAACTTAAGGGAAATGTAGAGAAGCATTTGTTTTTTTTAGCATGCAGCCTACTAAAGAGTTCTGGGGAACCTGAAAGCTTGCACGCCCATTCTGTGTTCAAACTCCCAAGTTGCAAGTCCATCCCCGTATTCCAGGTATGCAAAAGGGTTGGCCAAGGTTCACGGGGAGAGAACTCTGCATGGATGGAGGCGCTCTGGTAAATAAAAGAATATATTTAACAAATTTTAATATTTGAGTCCAGTGATACTTTTAAGACCAACAAAGTTTTATTTTGGGTATAAGTTTTCTTGTGCGCACACATTTCTTCAGAAGAAGAAGAAGAAGAAGAAGAGATTGGATTTATACCCCGCCCTTCACTTGGGGTCTCAGAGCGGCTGACAAACTCCTTTCCCTTCCCCTCCCCACAACAGACACCCTGTGAGGTGGGTGGGGCTGAGAGAGCTCTGACACAAAGTGCTCTTTTTCAAGGACAGCTGTGCCAGAGCTTGTGACTGACCCAAGGTCACATCAGTAGGTGCAAGTGGAGGAGTGGGGAATCAAACCCGGTTCTCCCAGATTAGAGTCCGCACACTTAACCACTACACCAAACTGGCTCTCTGGCACGAGACAGTACTTGAGCCTCTCGTGCTTACCTGAGGGGCCTGTGTGAAGAGGCATGCATGCACACAAAGGCTTCTATCCAGAATAAAACTTCGTTGGTCCAAAAGGTGCCCCCACTGGACTCCGACTTTGTTCTGCTGCTTCAGACCAACACGGCGAGCCCACCTGTGTTTAATATTAATAGCTGTGCCTTGTAATACTGTGCATGTGTACGTGGTGGGGTGGCACACTGTCGTCACGTGGCTCTTCTGACTGATGGCAATTGTGAGTGAGAGATGTGCAGTGAGGACCACTGGGCTAGAGATTTACTCTCTTGAGGACAAAAGTCTGGGAGTTCAGAGAACCCAGCAGGTAGTTCTTTGTAATGCGACAGTGATATGTCAGTTGTCTGTTTCAAGAAAAAGCAAATTAATGCCTGGGTGGTGGAGGGTGAAGAAGGAAAATGGTGCCGCTGCAGGTGGGACCTTGTGAAATCCATGCCTTCACATGGATGAAAGAGATGATAACTCCAGTCTTTCCAACATGTTCAGTTTGGGGAAGATTTCAGCACAAAGAAGGGAAACACAGAAGGTGGGTGATGAGGGGGTGACCTTGTGGAGACGCTAGAGATGTAAAATTTCCGGAAATTTTGAAGCTCGGAAAAAAACCCGGTTTTTTTCCGGTTTTTTTCGGGGAAAAACGGAAATTTTCGGAAAAATTGAAAAAAATGCTACATTAGCATTTCTTTTGTCTTTTCTAGATTGAAAGTCATTCTATTACTTTAGGAACATAAAATATGACTATGGACATTTTTACTTGGCATGAAATTATCACAACTAGCATATTAAAAATATAGTGTATCTAAACAATTATTACAAACAGAATACCCATCCACATGCAAAAACAAAACTGAAACTTTTTTATTTTCTTCTGACAATCGCACCTCCTAAAGGAAGAAATGCATCTTGTTCTTGCATTGGAGAGTTCAGTTTGTAACCTAGGACTTAATTGTCCTCAGGGCACAGAAATTAGATCAATCTGATACCATATATATATATGTGTGTGTTTGTGTGTGTGTGTGTGTATGTGTGTGTGTATATATATAAGAAATGATATGGAAAATATTTGAACACCTTGTCTTAAAATATTTTATTCATCATGTTAAAATAAAATGTTCCACAATCAATTTTTTTTTTCTTTTTTCAATTTTTCCAATTTTTTGGAAAAAAATCAAAAAGGCTTCAGGAAAAAAACCATTTTTTTTCCTGAATTTTTCCGTTTTTTTCCCGGGCCTTCACATCTCTACGCTTTAAAAAAAACCCCACCCCACTCCATGTAGAAGTGGCCCCACAGCAGAATGCAGCAGCCAGATTCATTTCTGATGTGGACTGCAGAGAGATTAGTTTGCCTGTGCCCCGTACATTGGATTGGCTGCCAGTCTGCTTGTGGGCGGGTTGGTCACCATTGAAGCCCTTAATGGCATTGGCCAGTGATGCTTGAAGGAGAGAGCGCCCCTTCTTCCCCACGTTCCCTTCCTGCTTATAAAGATTCTCGGAAGACTGTTCCTTAGCAGTCCTACATAACCTCCGGCTGGTGGCCACTTTTCATTGTGGCCTCCAGACTACAGAGCCAGGGGCCTGCCAAGCTGCGCGGACCTGGAGATCTGATTGTTGTTAAAAGCTTGGAAGACGGTAGATTCAGGCATATAACTCCATATGAGATCTGACCTTGGCTTGCTGCTGTCTTTGATTTCTATGGTTATAATGCTGTGTATAAGTTGATTTTAAAATGTGATTTAAATACATATACATTTTAATATGGCTTCCCTCAGCTAAATGCAAATAATGTGGGTTCTCTAAGCTAACTGCAAACGAAACACGTTTTTTAAATCAGTAAGAAACTTGATTTAATAAAGCAAATGAAAGCTAAGTTTTGTGCAGTGATATATTCCGCGAACAATGTTGCTGAAATTTGGAATCCATGCACCCTTTGCTGTGATCAGAGAAACATGTATGTATAACATGTCAGGGGAAAGGTTAGCGTGTTTGGAATTTGTCTGTTCAGAAGAAAGGTGACTCAAGGATGAGATATTTAGAGGCTAACAAGAAGGGGGACCCGCGATACTTGCGGGGGGGGGAGACGCTCCACGGGAGAAGCAGCCGCAGGTGAGTCTTCTCCCCTGTCCCCCCCTGGCGGCGGCGCCTCGCTGGCCCGCCGAACTTCCCACCGCCACCGGCGGCGCTTCGCTGGCCCGCCGAGCTTTCCCCCTTCCCCCCTTGGCGGCGGCGGCAAGGTTTTGCTGGCCCACCAAACCTTCTCCTTCCTCTCCCGCAGGCGGCAGTGGTGGCAGCGAGTCCTCACCGATCGGCCAAGCCTTCTCCCCCCACCCCTCCCACCGCCACCGAAGCCATTCCAAGAGCATTCCCTGCACATGCGCAGGGGACGCTCTTTTACTTTTGGGGGAATTTCAGTATCCCCCCTATAGTTTTTTACAGTTTTTAGATTTTTCTGCACATCTGGGGATTGCTCCAGATGTGCAGGAAAATCTCCCTGCCCTCCAGGTGCCCCCGATGTATGGATTTAGATATCCGCACACAGAGGGCTCCTTCGCTATTAGATATATCGATAAAACTGTGCTTCTTGGGCTTGAGAAAGTATGTAGGGAAGACAGATTTGAGTCCAGGAGCTCCTCTGCGACCAACAAGTATTTATTATATAACTTATGCCCATGGCGGGGCTTGCATTCTTCTCTCTTCCGCTTTATAATGGCAACCCTGTGAGGTAGGTTAGGTGGAGAGAGCGTGAGAAATAGTAGAAGGCTGCTCATGTGCCATGTTCATTACCTTGTAAGATCAGGGAAGCTCATTCTTATGGGACATTAAAAAAATTTCCACTGTCCAGTCTCTGACGCTGAGAGCAAAATGGGTTGAAGGGGGAAGGGGTGGACAGTTCCCTTTCTGGCAGTTCTACTCTGTCAAAGGATGCAGACTTCAAAGAAAGCTGTTTGGCTCTAATCCCCAGTAGAGGAGAGGCAGGAAACCCTAAATGGGACAGAGATGTGGGAATCTGCTCCTCGTAGCTGTCGCTTGCATGGATGGGGATTAGACAAACTCTAGGGGGACGGGGCTTTCAATGACTATGAACTGTGGTGGCTAAATGGAACCTCCATGATCAGAGACAGTGTACCTCTGAATGCAGTTGCTAGGGGCAATGTCAGAGGATGGCATTGTGTCTTTGCTTGTGGGTCTTTCAGGACAACTGGTTGGCTCCTGTGGGAAACAAGATGCTTGTTGTGAGCCAGGCTGGGAGTGGCGTAGGGCATGCTGTCAGAGCGCAGGGTGAGTAAGGCAAGAGCACCAATTCCAGAAGCACAGTCAAGGTCTCGGTCTAAGGTTATGCACAGAGTCAGGAGTCTAGCCCGAGGGTCAGTCCATACAGCAGGGTCTGAGAATCCGAGAGTTACAAGCAGGTTCAGTAACTAGACGAAGGCAGAGTCAGGAAACAATTTGAAGAATCACAGGGTTGAGGCAGGATCCGATGCAGTGGTCACAGAGTCAGAGGGATTTTGACTTGTTGCTTCCATATCTCACAGCCTCCCTTGGCTGTTTTTTATAGCCATATGTTTAAACGTCATGCTTACAGCCAGCTGCTTGGGAGTAATCCTGCAACTACTCAAGCAGCTTGTGTTGGGCTAAGAGGCGTGCACTTTGTTGTCTCTCCTGTAGTTCTGCTCATAGCCTCCATCTGCAGTGCTCTAAGGGAGTGGGTGATACTGGAGGGCTGGAAACAATCAACTGAGTTTCACCTGTTGAATCAGGGCTGAAGGGTGTCAGTGGCTCTGCACCAGCTGTTGGCTGTGAATCCTGGCAGGCCTTGCAGCTCATCTTCCTGCTTGCTGGCTTCTGGTGACCCAGAGCTAGCTACACAGGTCTCCTCCTGAGGGGTCTTTTCTCTCACTGAGCCCTGGATGACCCACAACAATGCTTCATCAAAGTGGCCTGCATTTTGGTCCGCTGGGGATCTTGTGTTCCTTCGTGCCTCTTAGGAGCAGGAATATATGCAGATCTTTCAAAAAGGAATAGACACTGGTGTTGCTGAGCTGTTCAGTCATGAGAACTTGACCTTCCGGGCAGGAGCACTTGTGTGGTGCAGTAAAAAGTGTTGGATTTAGATGCAAGTTCAAATTCCTCCCTTCCCCAGTAAGCTAAAGCAAACCGGTTGTCTTGGGCAGATCGCTGTTTTGGTGATCAAGGAAACCAAATGTTTAAAAGACGCAAAATAATAATAATCTAATAATAGGAGGTGAGGTGCTAGAGGCTGGGGTCAGAGAGCCTGTGGTGGCAGGGGGCAGGCGGCAGGGAGACCAGCCGAGGGATGAGACAAGAAACCAGGCTCTTGTGTGGACAGCCTGCCGCCTCCCGTCCCTTTCCAGCTGGCTACATAAGCTGAGCTTGATCATAGCAACGTGCCTGGCGGTCACTGGCAATTAATACTTCTCTCTGGCCACGGAAGCTTTATAGAACTGGCTCTTCTTTTTTTTAAAAAAGGTCAGAGGTGGCCAACCTAGGCACGGGGGGAGGTGGTCTGCTTAAAAAGGGCGTGGGCTGCAGAGGGATTTGTAGGGATCCTGCCTGCTTGACAGAGTTCAGGACATCTTCTGTCTTGCAAAAAGGGAAGCGAGACCTGGGCAGGAGGTGGTTTTAATCTTCTCAGAAGGAAAGCCCAGAGATAGGAATACTGCCAGTTTTCTCAGGTCCACTGTTTGAACTCAGAAGTCCCTGCTTCAGTTTTGCTCCTCTCTTGGGCAAGTGCAGCCCACAAGCCTGTGTTTCTTTGCCCCTGTCCGGGTTCCCTGTGATGTTGCTTCTAATGTTGATGGTATAATGAACAGCATACAAAACAACCACCAATGAAAATGGCAGAACGCCAGGGAATGGGGGGAGGAGGAGTGTCTTGGTATATCCCAGGCTAGAGCTTGGCCTTTGCCACCTGTTGGGTTTAACCTGTCTGTCTCTTCAAACAGGAGCGCAGCACACCGCAGCTGTGTCTTCTGTGTCCCCGCCGGCCCCCTTCCAGAGCGTTCCTCCCTCGGTCTCGCAGACGCCAGTCATTGCCGCCACGCCTGTGCCAACCATCACCGCAAACGTCGCCCCCATCGCCACTCCCCCTGCTGCTGCACCCCCTCCGCCTCCACCTCCTGCCGCTCCCATCATGCCAGTAGTTCCTCCAGCGCCACCTATTGTCAAGGTAATCAAGAAGCCAGAGGAGATGAGCTGTGCCCGCAGAGGTTGGGGTTTCCCCTTCAAGGGAGCGGAGCATTCAGCGAGGCTTGGTGTGGGGGGGCAGTGGGGGGCGGTGTGTGCATCTCAGATGTGAGCTGCTTTCCTTTAGACTGTCTGCCCCCAAAACACCCCCTAAGTCCTCTCAGGTTGGAGGAGAGATGGCCACGATCGGGAGATTTGACGTGGTTTTGGTTTCTTAGTAGTACTCTTTTAAAAGAAAATGAATTGCAGCCCCCAACTAGAAAGAAATAAAAAATATAACTGCAGTGGTGGTGAGTCTACAGATAAGCATCTGTAAATGGTTTCCAAATATCTAGAAATAGGTCCATCCATAAGTGTCATCTATCTGCCATACATGGAAATGTTGATAAGGTTGTGAAGTCCTCGATCCATTGGATTACTGGATGTGGGCATTTATTGCTCCAGTGTCGTAATCTAAATCTTTTAGCAACTTTAAGGGCATGAAGGGTCCATTTTTGTTGACCATCTGCAGGAGGCAGGCAAATAGTTTGAAAGTACATAAGCATCCTCAAAGATCCATGAGTATTCTAATACAAAATTGATATGAATAATTACTTCCTCCCAAAAAGTCTGTATAGCCAGACAGGCCCAAAGCATATTAGGAGATGTGTTGTTTAAACTGTTAACTCCAGAAACTGGGCACTTTACTTATTCCTTTACTAAAAATGTGCTGTGGTGTCCAGTATATCCTAAACATAATTTTTTGTTGAAAAAGCTGCAGCTTAAGGTCCACAGAAACAGGTATAAGATTTAGGCCTTATCACATTGCTTTGACAGAACAGGGTGATCTACCGCCTTCTTCCATTCATTCATGTGACTTTGCATATCATATCTTAGCCCTCTTGGGAAGACACGTGTTGGCTGACCTGAACATGTGTGGGGCCCCACCCACACACGATTGCTACAGTGTTAGCCCTCGTGTTCCATACGAGGAGCGGGTAGCATGGTTTTTAACACCCCTCTTCTGTGCACCTTGAGGAGGAGTCTTACCTCTGTCGTCTCTGTTGCCTCCAGACATGGAGCTCTGTGGTTTTCCAGAGCCTCAGCTTTTATTTTCCATTTTTCAGACCCAGGGGAGATGTGGTGCGTCTCCTGCTGATCCCTGCTGCTTGTGTCGCTGGCCGTGCCATAGCAGGATGGCCGCTTGAGCTTGGACTCCCTTGAAGGGTTCTCAGTAGGGCTTTGCACTTTTTTTCTTAATTGGTATTTTTTGGTTTGGGTCTATTGACCTAGAAAAAAATTCAGTATTTCCAAAAAATTCCAGTTCTTAATACCAGAATGGTATTTGGATCTGGGACTTTTCAAAAATCCCAGGGTTTTTTTTGGGTCCAATAGACCCAAGTAGAAAAATACCAGTTAAAAAAAGAGAAGCCAGCCTGATCCTGAGGCTGGCTTGGCTTCTCCTGTGACGTGGTTTAAACGGCACTGCAGGAGACCCTGGCCCCAGGATCTGCGTGCTGCGCGGGGAGCTCCCTCCCTGCCACATGCAGACCTGTGTGGGATGGCCCCAGGATCTGCTGTGCCGCAGCTATAGCAGACTGTTGTCCCGTCCCCTCCCCCCCCCCCCCCCGCCATTTTCCTGAGAAAACCCAGATACATTTGGGAAGCCAAAGTATACCCGAAAACTACTGATAAGGTATTTTTCGGGTATATTTTCGGCTGAGGTAGATCTGAACACTCCTAGTTCTCAGTAAGCATTTCTCTCTACATGCTCAAAGGCACTCTCCAGGTGTTTCACAGCTGTGTTCTGGAAGTAAGACCTGGTGAGTCATGGCATGAGTTGAGGCCTTCCTAGAAATCTTATTCAGCATTTGAAGTTGCCTGACCCATCCCCAATCACATGGGCTAGGAATTTTCTTTTTTCTTTAATAAACCCGAAAGATGAGATTTGTGGGAAGCTAGATTCTGCACCTCCTGCTGTCATGTTTCTGTGCTGGCACGGAATTCACACAGGCCCCAGCCATCACCTAAGAACAGCCTCTAGTAGCACTTCAGTGAGAAAACCACCAAATTCCTTTCATCTGTATTTGTGAATTTCAGAAGAAGGGAGTGAAGCGGAAAGCAGACACAACCACGCCCACCACGTCGGCCATTACTGCCAGCCGGAGCGAGTCACCCACCCCACTGTCGGACCCCAAGCAGGCAAAAGTAGTGGCTCGGCGGGAAAGTGGGGGCCGGCCCATCAAACCACCAAAGAAAGACCTGGAAGATGGGGAGGTCCCCCAGCACGCGGGCAAGAAAGGCAAGCTCTCGGAACACCTGAAATACTGTGACAGCATCCTTAAGGAGATGCTGTCGAAGAAGCATGCCGCTTACGCCTGGCCCTTCTACAAGCCCGTGGATGCCGAGGCCCTGGAGCTGCACGACTACCATGACATTATCAAGCACCCGATGGATCTCAGCACTGTGAAAGTATGCCCACCTTTTCCACCTCCCCGCATCATAAAGCTCACTCGCCTGTGGTGCTTGGTTTCTCAAATGAGAGGGCTTTGGGTGGCCATCAAGCAGAGGTGGGCTGTCTCAAGTACAGGTGGGTCTGTACCGGAGGGCCACCCTTGTTCCCTCTGGAGAGAGCTGCCTCATGGGACCAGGTGGCACGCTGGGGCCGCTTGTGTCATCCGAACCCTGCCAAGTGTGCAGTTGCAGTACCTGCAGTGGGGGCTCTGGGGTGCAGCAGAGAGCAGGTCAGCAGTCGCTGCCTCTGGCCTGCAGTTTGCTGCATGAGTCTCAGAAGCATTCCCCTCTCACCCCTGTGCCGGGAGTGGGGGGAGCTCAGGCGGCAGTGGTGAAATTGGCTGTCTAGACCATCTGACTTGGGAGGATCCTGGCTGAACTGGACGCCTGACTGCACCATGCGTGTGTAGAGTTTGGCATTCAGCATCCCAGCTTTGCTCGGCATCAGACTCCCTGCAAAGACAAGGAAGTATACGTGGACAAATTGTGCCAGGTGAAACATTTTATGTGTTTCCATTTATTCCGTGATTTTTGCATAACTTATTCCCGCTGTGCCGGCTATGGGGAGGGGTACTGAGCTGTGCGGAGCAGTGAAATCCCCCTCACCACCCCAGGAGATCTTCACGACCTGTCCTCTTCATGACTTGCTTGTGAGTCGCCCGAGGGCGTCTGGCTTCGCTCTGAGCCAGCGGGGCTCTTCCTTGTGTTCTTCTAGCACAGACTTGCCTGAGGCCCACTAGAAGCTTTCCCAGCTGCTGTGGAGTATCATTTCCCCACATCCTTCTGGCTATTCTTATTCTTGAGTACTTTTAAGGTCAAAAGGGCCTGTAGTCATTCTCCCCATTGGTTGCAGTGAGATCGCAAGATGGATGGAACTGTTTTCCTGACCTTTTGTGGTGGGGGGGGGGCTTTTCTGTATTGCCCATTTCATCTGTGGATGCATGTCACTTACAGCTCTTCTCTTCCTCACCCACTTCCTGCCCAACCCTGCCCCCTTCATTTTCTCCCCTCCCCCCACCCCTTTTTGGCTTCCTGTGCTTGCAGAAAAAAATGGACAGCCGGGAATACCAAGATGCCCAGGGGTTTGCGGCGGATATTCGGTTAATGTTCTCTAATTGTTACAAGTACAATCCTCCCGACCATGAAGTTGTGGCCATGGCCAGGAAGCTTCAGGTAAAAGGTGGTTGAAAAATAAAATAAAACTGGAGCCTGCCCCATGAGAAATGCATTCGACTGCAGAACGACTGCAGGGGGGTCCCCAGCCTTCTTTGACCCTGCGGAAACCTTTGGAATTCCAGCACAGGCGGGTGGGCGCAGCCACAAAATGGCTGCCCCAGGTGGCAGAGCCAGCAACAAAACGTTAGGGACTGTGGTCATGCATAACTCTTAATAGTAACTCTTCAACATTTCAGGCAGAAGTTTTGCCTGAACAAACATATTGTTTAAAATTAAAAACATTTTCTTGCACGCACACAGCTTATCTGGAGACAGACAGGGAAGAGCCTTGTGCTGTGGTGGCCAGTGTTCCCTCTAAGCTGACTTAGTGTGAGCTAGCTCACAGTTTTTTAGCCTCCTGCTCACACATTCCTGTCTTAGCTCAGGGAGGATGGCTCCAGAGCAAACTGATTTATGCAGTAGCCCAATCGCTCGCTCACAACTTTAATGCCAGTAGCTCACAAAGTAGAATTTTTGCTCACTAGACTGCGCAGCTTAGAGGGAACATTGGTGGTGGCAGCTGCTGCTGCTGCTGGAGCTGCGTGTGTTTGAATCTGCACAGCCAAGCAGGTCTCCAGAGGCCGGTTAGGAACCCACCCAGCCCCTCCCACTTTCTGTAAGCCGCTGGTGGGCTCCAGGGTGCCCATGGCACCATGTTGGGGACCCCCTGCTGTACAGCCTGAAGTGTGTCTTTTTCTGGTCAGCCTTTTGCTGTGTTTTCTGCACCTGTTTGGAAGGAAGCAAGCCCAGAACAGTGACACTTGTGCAGAGGTGCAACAGGCAGCCTCCCTTGAGGGAGGGAAAATCAGCTCTTCATCAGGACTGATTGGAGCACTCCAAACTCATCGGGCGCAAAGGCGCTAGACATTCCAAACTTTCACGGAGGTCACCCACTGAGCTCTGTGTGAATCTTCTCTGGGCAGACCCCATCTGGTTTTAATAAATCTAATGTAATTAAGAACCAATATAATAAACATACGTTGCATTGATAACAATTCTGAATTATACTCTTATAAGTATTTTAGCAGAGTGTGGTCCAGCATCCCCCAGACTTCCAATAACAATATTCCAAAATATTCCAAATGAAATCACTCTGGGATATTTCGGTTCTGATGAGTCATACAAGTGTGCCACAGAACATTTTGGTGTTTGCTGGTGCATATAGTGCTTGAGGCTTTGGCACACTGAGCTGACCTTTCTTTCTCTTTTCCTGGGTATATTCAGGGCTGTGTGTTCCCTGGGATCTGCCCCCCCCCCCCCCCCCCAGTTAAAATCAGTCACCCATAGTATCCAGATTCTGCACCAAGAGAAACTGGATTGAGGGCTAAACTAGACACGGGTCCAACACGTGGCTCCTGGCACAATTTTAAAGGAAAATTTCGCTGTTTAAAAATTGCCCCGAGGGCCCAATCGGGCCAATGCTGCAGTGGTACCAGATGATCTTGTCCCCCTCGTGCACCTTTTTAAGTGCCAGAAGAGGCATTGGGGGCTGTTTCGGCACTCTAGAGAGCACGGGTGTGTGTGTGTGGGGGGAATGGGGACAAGATTGCTTGCTGCCACCACACCACAGGCTGAATCAGGATCGGGCACTTGTGGAAAGTTTTAAATGGCTAAAGTTTCCTCTAAAAAGGTATCGGCCACTACAGGTTGGATCCCTGTCTGCTGTAATGTATCGTTTGGCTCTGAGGAACAAATATAACCCGCATAACCTATTCCAGTTTTGGTAGCTATGAGGAGGGATAACAGTACTGCGGGGCAGTGCCCCCTTCCCCCGTCACCAGAATCTAATTCAGCCCCTCCTTCTTGGGCTTCTGTGATTTCAGCACACAGACTTCCAGCATATTTTTGCATGTCATAAAGGCTAGATGGCGGCTTGTTTGTTTAATGTAATGAAAGCTGAGATCCTCGGGAAGCTGAAGTCATAACGCTGCACTTTTCCTGCGCTCCTGGGGAACGGAAGAAGACTTGGGGCCCTGATTCTTTCTCTCCGTTTGAGAAGCCACAGTTCTCACCCAGGTGCCAGCCAGGCTGAGACTAGCACTGCTTGTAACAGCCCAGCAGCAGCAGGTGCCTTCAAAACCATTTCCTCTGGCCTTCTTGAAAGCGGGTCTGTCTAAGTTGTGTCTGAAGTTCTGTGATAAGAGCAGTCCCCCTCCCCTCATCCCTGACTCGGAATACAGTGTGCAAGTTGGGTGTCCTTGCATGAATGCATTCCACGGGCATGATGTGCTTCTGAGTGTGGGAGTGAGAGGTGCCTTCAGCCGACCCCGGGTTTGGGAGCATCTGCTAGAGAGGAGGCTCCCGGGCCGGCTGCTCTTGTGCGGTGTTTTGTCCCTTCCCCTCCTGAAGGCCGCTGTCCCCGCAGGACGTCTTCGAGATGAGATTTGCCAAGATGCCGGATGAGCCGGCAGAGCCTCCCCTGCCGCCGCCTCCAGCAGCGCCCGTGGTGAGCAAAAGCACAGAGAGCAGCCACAGCAGCGAGGAGAGTTCCTCGGACTCCGACAGCTCCGACTCGGAGGAGGAGAGGGCCACGCGCCTGGCGGAGCTCCAGGAGCAGGTGAGAAGCTCCCTCCATTCCGGTCAGGGTGGCTGGCTGAGGCCCACTCCCGGCTTGTTCAAGGCCAGTTCTGAGAGACCTAAGAGCCTTGGCTCATGTGGCCACAAACGTGAATGGCCCACTAAAAGGTTTTACTAGCCCACATCATGCCTTTGGGGCTGCTTTAAAACCAACCAACCAAAAAAAACACACCCCTTTGAAAAATCTCCCTCTCTGCTCATGTGAAGGTGATGGCGCGTGCCCCAAGCAACCAGGTGAGCCTGCAATGTACCTTTTTGTCCTCAACCTTGATGCAAGGTGTCAGAGAGATCCTGACTTAGCCGTGGCCACCCAGGAAGCATTGTGGCTGAGCAAAGATTTGAACTTGAACACCACCACCCTGGTCAGGGCTCCTCCGTGTGCCAGGGTGATTCCAAACCTTTTCCGAGTGGCCTCACCCGGTCATTGTTGGCTTGAGTACTTCACTCCCCCTTCCTAAATTTATTAAATAAAATTTAAAAATATTTGTAGTTTAAAACAAAATAAATCATTTTTTGCAACTGTCACCTTTATTGCAACTCAGAATGACAATTCTCATGCAGACTGGCCCTTGAAACCAGGTGGACCGACTTAAGAGTCCCATTTGCCAAACAGACCGTTTCAGGGCCCCCCCCCTCTCCCCAACTGCAGTCTGTGCTGCTCTCAGAATCCCTCTCCTGGTAGTGGGTGGCTGCTTGCACAGTGGACGGGATCCTTGGGGTCCAAGCCTCCGCAGTCTTGACCATTATCCAGGAAAAAGTGCCGTATGGCATTTGTGAATTAAATCTAACTTTGTTTTTTGAATTGCTTGAGAATTTTGTGACACCCCTTGAGATAATTGCCAATATACTGTGGGGGTGGGGGTGCAAAGCCAATGGGGAGAATCTCTGTTCTCTTGGGTTCATAGTTTCCCAGTGTATTAGGGGAGGGGCTGTGGCTCAGTGGCAGAGCATCTGCTTGGCGTGCAGAAGGTTCAGTTGCCAGCACCTCCAGTTTAAAAGGACCAGGCAGTAGGTGATGAGGAAGACTCTTGACTGCCTGAGGTCCTGGAGAGCTGCTGCCAGTTTCAGGAGACAACACTGACTTTGATGGACCAGTGATCTGATTTAGTGTAAGGCAGGGTTCGTGTGTTCTTGTTTATCTGGCCAGGGTGGTTGGGTCTGGGAGATGTAGATTCAGTTCCCACCTCTGTCAGAGACACACTGCAGTGCCTTCTTTAAGTTCCTAGGCCTCAGTTTGTTATCTCTAGAATAGTAGCAGGAGTGGCCACGGAGGGTTGTTATGAGGAAAAATACAACTGTGAAGCGTTTTGCTGTTTGAGTGATCGGCACTGGAACATTCGGCACTGGAACATTGGATGGCCAGGGATATTTAAGCAGCCATGAGGGACAGAAACTTGACACCTATTAAAGAAAGCAGGGGAAACCCCAATTCTCAGTGGGAGATCAGAACAGGAGTGTGATTTTGTGGCAATGCAGCTCCTTGGATCCTCTGCCCCTGCACCCTTCCCCACCATCTGGAATCGCAGTGTGGACACAATATTTGCTTCCCTTGCCTCTCTTCTTGTTCACACAGGATTGTTCCCGATCTTTGAGGCAGTGCTACAAGGTCAATGACTCCCGAGACTGGAATGGATGGAATGTATTTGTTTATTTTTATTTTTTTTATTGATTTCTTTATTCTTGTACAGATAAGTGTTCTGTCATATTAGTATTTAGCTGTGAAAACCTCTGTGGGTGTCATAATAAGAGATACTGAACTTTTCTGTTAGTCCAATAAAACTTCACCTGGGGATTTGGACACTGAAGGAGGTTACCCCTTGGCCTGGGGTGGGATTTCATCAGTGGCGCCCTGCCTCTACTAAAACACCTGTAAGAGAAGATGGAAACAGATCAGAGGGTGACCAAGAACAACTAGGGCCAAAGTCCTTTTGTTGCAATAATATACTTGTGCCCAGGCTCCATTAAAAATTAGTCTCTAGAGCTTCCATTGTGGAGTTATAAGGGGAAATGTGCTGCCAGCATATTTTGCCTTATAACTCTTTAAGAAAAAGGTCTAAAGACTTAGTTTTAAAAAATAAATAAATGAATGAAAGCTGGGAACTACTACATTGCAATAATAGATTGTTATAACAATATTGTGCCATAGTGATCTGTTGATTACCATTTCTTGTAAAAGACAACCCCCCCCCAAAAAAAACCCCTAAAATATCTATGTGAGGGGGTGGAAATTGTGGCCAAAGGGTTGAGGTATGGAAAATGGTTTCAATATGGGTGGGGGGCCTTCAACCATAGACACCTTTCCCTCCACACGGCATCCAAAGGAGCTTTGACTGTGATCTTTCCAAAATGATCATACTCTGCCAGGTTTGGGAAAGATGGGGGGGGGGACAACAGAAGTAGAGTAAATGAGGATGATGCCATGTGGATGCTCCTCAAACCAGCGCTGCTGTAAGGGAGCCAAGGTGGAGCCAAACATCCACATTGCAACAGCCCAGATCTCCCTTCCCAGCTGGCCATGCAACAGAAGGCTCAGGGGTAGGATAGGCTGGAGCCTCCACTGGGCAGGATCCCGTGGGCCCAGGCCTGTGACTACCCGGCCTTTGCCCATCAAATTAGTCTGAGAGGGGCCATTACTCCAGGGCAGAACAAGTGCTTTGTGTGCACGAGGTCTTCTACTTAGTCTCTGGTACCTCCAGTGAAAGGATCTTGGTGATGCTGGGAAAGATCTCTGCCTGAGAGCTGAGAGTGTTTCCACCAGTCCAAGCAGACTGGTTGGACCAGTCTTTACTGGTTGCCTGCCAGTTAGTCTGATAGACTACCCCGAAAGTGAAGATGAATAGCCAAATCAGGCCATAAACAATGCTCCCCCTAAGCTGTGGAGTCTTGTGAGCAAAAATTCTACTTTGTGAGCTACTGGCATTAAAGTTGTGAGCAAGCGATTTGGCTGCTGCATAAACTAGTTTGCTCTGGAGCCATCCTTCCTGAGCTAAGACAAAAATGTGTGAGCTGGAGGCTAAAAACTGTGAGCTAGCTCACACTAACTCAGCTTAGAGGGAACACTGGTCATAAATCCCAAGGACAGGGTCTGGTTAATTGCTTTTAGTTGATGTACAGTGTGTAGCACACACTAGACTAGGAGCCTTATACATAACTGAGGATGATAAATGGAGAGATCTTGGGGCCTTCAGGGGAATGGCACGGTAACAGTATTTTCAGTAAACAACTAAATTCCTCCTTGCAGTGTTCCTTTGATGGGTGCACTCTTTGTGGCGTGATCATGCCTCACAATTGTGGTGCTTGAAATCACTGTATTCCCTGGAGCGGCATCTCCTCTTTCCAAGAAATTGCCCAAGATTGCTGGCTCTGGTTTTCAAAGTTTCTAGCCCTCATGGTTGCAGAGATATAAACATACCATTTCAACCAGGGAAAGGCAGCACAGTCACTGAGGCTGGAGGTATCATTAGAGAAAGAGGCTGCTGGTAGCCTCCAGCAGAGTTGTCTTGACTCTGCAGGGCAGCCTTCCCTGCTGTATCTGTGAAGAGGGAACCACCAATGACATGGCTGACCACTATTTTCCTCCCCATTTGATATAATAACTCCTGACTTTTATTCCATTTTATGTGCATGTGTTGACTTTATAATTCAACCTTTCTCCCACCCAGCCTTTAAGGCTCGGGGTAGGTTAATATAGTGAAAAGCAGCAGAGCTGAGCCAATGGAAAGAGTCGTAGTTCTGCCTGTTGCAACCGTTACGTGCCATTCAGACAAGGAACTGGGAAATACTGGGAGTTGGACGTTGCCACACCTCTAGAGGAAGGGAGCCCTACATTGTGCAGCTGACCAAGAGGACGTTTCCCTGCCCCCCTTCAGCTCTTTATGCACCACAGTTGCATCCCACAACAACAACAGCCCTGAGAAGTAGGCCAGGCTAGCAGTTTGACAAATTGCTGTCCCCACCGGGTTGCCAATGCCACCCGTCTTTTTTCTGGCCCCATCCCTCTTTCAGAGCATTCTGGCACACAAGAGTTTGCCAGGAGGAGCATTTCTGGTTTGTTCCGCTGTATTCCAGGAAGAGCCTGCCAGGTTGTTCTTAAAAGCGCAGGAGCTGGGCTGGTGAGGATGGTGAGGATGTTCGCCCCCACCCCACTCTGCCTCTCTCCCCGTGCTCGTTTTCAAGGCAACAGAGGCAGCTGCTTGGCTACGTGGGTCTCTGGCCGCTGAGGACAGAGTGGGGCAAAGGAGCGCGTCACTGCCGCCGTCTCAGGCACCCCCGAGCACTCGGACTGCCAGGAGTGCAGCCGACAGTGCTAAAAGTCAGGCTGGTTCTCACAGGGTGGCGCTCTCGTGAGTGAGGGTTCCTTCCTGCCGAGACTGTCAGGTGGCTTGTTGATATTCATCAGCCTCTGAAAAACTGGACTCAGGCTTGTTCTGCATAAGCAGCAAAGTGAGAAGGGAACGAGACTGTAGGTGAGGGGGTGGGGAGGCCATATTTTTCAGTGCTCCCCTATGTTTAATCACATCCTTGCAAGTGGAAAACTTGGTAGAACCTGATGTGCTAGCCTTCTCCTTGCAGGCTCTTGTGTGGGGAGATTTTAAAAATTGTGTCCCCCCCCCATTTGCAGTGAGAGTGGCCCAGTTCAGTCTCCCACTTCATTCTCCCGTCTAGACTGTGCCTCAGTTCTGAAAAAGAGACAGTGGGTTTGCACATGCCAAGGTCCCCATCGTGCCAGGGGCACAGCAACCATTATTGGGCTTGCAACTGAGAAGGTGTGTTCCCCCCCCCCCAAAAAAATGTGCTGCATATGAGAACTGGCACCTCCATGTGAGAGTTGTATATGTAAGAGCAGCTGTGATTTGCACAACCGTTGCAGCTTGGGGGGGGGGAAGTCAGTCTTGGTATTTGTGCAACCACTTTATGGATGTCTTAGTTCTCAGCAGGCCCCGCACATGGCCACCAACCTGCACCGAGGGCTTTAGCGAGTGTGGCTCATTCTGGAAATGAGCTGAGGTTGATGGGCTTGCAGCTGGCTTGCATGTGGGCATTTGTGAGCCCATTCACACATCATGTCCATCTCTGGATGACTGTGGCATCAAGTGAAGACTTGCATGTGTGAATGAACCCTGATCACCCTGGAGCAAATGTTCCCATCACCCACTGCCAATTCTAACACAATATTTTTCAAGAGAATTGATTCAGATGTTTGCCTGAGAGTGACTGAGCGTGAAAGGGTCGAAGAGTGTGAGATCAAGTGCTTTGTGTGAACTGTCCCCGCGAGGAGGCCAGAGCGGCACGGGGGCCCTCTCCAGAAGCACCTGACTTTCTTAGCTTTGATCCTCCATCTTCCCCGCCAGCTGAAGGCCGTCCATGAGCAGTTGGCTGCCCTGTCCCAAGCTCCCGTGAACAAACCAAAGAAAAAGAAAGAGAAGAAGGAGAAGGAGAAGAAGAAGAAGGACAAAGAGAAGGAGAAGGAGAAAGAGAAGCACAAAGCAAAAGCGGAGGAAGAGAAGAAGGCCAAGGTGGCCCAGCCGGCAAAGCAGGTGCAGCAGAAGAAGGCTCCAGCCAAGAAGGCCAACAGCCTTCCCGTGGTGAACAGGTAAGGGGCACCTGGGGCTCAGCGTGTTGGCCAGGTGAGCCGAAGCCGGGCAGGCAAATCCCCCGGAAGCAGCAGGGCTCCCAGCCTCCGGAACGGCAAAGCCCACAGAGTCCTGAGAAGCCCGGATGGTTATGGGATGTCTTGTGGTAGTAACTTGTCTGGTGCGTCGGGTGGTGTGGATGGATGGGCTTCTACCCGCTCACGCAGGCCTGGTGCAGAGCCGGTGCTGCCTGCTTGTGGGCTTTTTACCCTCTCCCCTCAGGCAAGCACCCCACCCCACACTTCCAGTCTTTGCCCTAAAGTTGTTTGGAGTTACATCCGCACTGCTGTTTCTGTTAGCCAAAGCTGGGGCAAAGTACAGTCTGCAAACGGGTTTCCCGCCAAGGCTTCACAGCGTGGTGTGGCGAGGGCACCCGTGCCCGTGTGGTGCTAGCGATCACGAGGAGCCCAGGAGGCCCCGGGCGCCCCTGGTGAGCTCAGGTGTGTCTGGGCAGCGCTCTCCCTGTGCTGAGCCACCATAAGGCCAAACGTCAAGAAAACAGAAGGCAGGAGTGGGTGAATAACGTGTCTGTGTACAGCACAAAATAGATGTTGCTCAAAGAAAGTACCTACATGTGTGCAAGAGAATAGATGCATTTATCCAGGAGTCCTTTCGGATTCAAAAGCGAAAAGCTCTGCACCCAGAGCCGAGTTCTTGAACCCATAGGACTGCTGCAAATGAAGCACGCGTGCACAGTTTCTCTTGTATAGAATTAATAGAATTTCACTGCCTAACCTGGCCTTGGTAGTCATGGGGAGGGTCGTGCCTCGTGGATTGCTGGCGGTGTTCCTCTGCAGCTCCTCTGGCTTGTGAGGCTTCAGCAGGTATGACCGGCATGGCTTTCAAGGATCCCTCCACAGCCATTTGGGTGAGAACCTGGCTGCATGTTGGGGGGGGACGGGGATCTGGATTCTGCTGCCAGTGCTGCATACAAGCTTGCATGTCTCCAGCAGTGTGCAAAGAAACTTCAAGCAGTCTCTGTGGCCGCCTGTTCTAAGTCTCAAAAGTTCTTGGGGAAGGAGCTGTGGCTCAATGGTAGAGCCTCTGCATGGCATGCAGGAAGTCCCTAGTTCAATCCCCAGCACCTCCAGGTAAAATGATCCAGTGGTAGGTAATGTGAAAGACCGAGGACCTTGGAGAGCTACTGCCAGTCTGAGTAAACAATACTGACTTTGGTGGACCAAAGGTCTGGGAGGGTATAAGGCAACTTCATGTGTTCTTGTGCTATAGCTGGGGAGGGCTAGAAGCTTGTCTTTCCCTTTGAACCACAGTTGGCATTCTGCAGAAATTCTGGAACTGCTGGTTCTGCTGTTTGGAAGTCCTTTCCTTATCTTTATCTGTAGTCCAGTTTGAAGATAAAGGTTTTTAGAAGGGCAGCTGCAGTGGCCCCTTTCCTCTGAGCCAAGCACCATATTGGCTTTTGTTGGTCAGCAGCTACATTCTAAACTAGACAGCCCAGGGTGTTTCCACCGGGTGAGGATTCTCTGTCCTGCATTCATCTGGCACTGGAGTTTTCTGCATGCTGTCCTCTGTCAGCTGCCATTTCCCCTGCATTTTTCACCTGATGCACCACCGGAGGGGGGGGGGAGCTTTTAAAAAAATCAGTAATTGTAATAGAGATACAACACCATAGCACTGCAGCAAATATTGATTTTTGTTAAAGCCTGCAAAAGGCCCTCTGATGGCATGGTGAGGAAGATGGTGGCTGTGAACGAGAAGAAAATGTCACCAATGTGGGTATATAACTTTCCATGCAGATGGTGTGCTAACATATGTGGACAAGGTTCTTTCAAACCTGGTTTGCGCTCTTTTCTGAGGGAGAGAGCGTGGCAAGGATGGGGAAAACATGCAATGCAGATTCATCGTCTTGGCTTCTGTGCAGTCCCACATTGGGACTGTGCATGCTCAGAGCCAGGTGCAGTGAAATGTCTAGCTGAAATGAAAAAGGAGGGAGCGCGCCCTCTCCTTGGAACACACATGCCATTTCCTGCCCAAGAGTCACATGTTCCCCCCCTTTCCCCTCAGTTTTGTCTTTGCTGCCACAGGGAGAAGTCACATTTCTAGCATTCTTGACCTGTTTACAAAAAAACAACACCCCAAACAGTTAAAAGTTTGAGCTTTGTTTGCCCTTTGGATTGGTGGGTTTACCATTCCTTTCACTTTGTGTTTAAAAAAACCCAAAAAACACCTGTCAGGATCGTTACAGGCCTTTGCCCCTGTCTCTCAGCCTCATCTGCGATAACGGCACAAAAACCTCTTGTGGGACAAAGATGTCTCACGCAGATGAACCTGATCTGTGCCTTTTATTTTTGGGTGAACACCAAATGTCTTGGGCTGTAGACATTGTCAGCTGTTTTTGTTGAAAGCTTAAAAGGAGAGTGCTATGGGGCAAGGCCTTATCTGTGCCTCAGGTCCCGTCAGCTAGGTCATCTCAACCATCTTCGGTAATATCAGTTCCGTCCGGTTCAAGATCAGAACCGTCCCAATGGGTTCTGTTGAAGCATACGTTTTGATAGCTGACTTCAACTGGGGCCCCAAGAAGCTTCGCTGAACCCCTGGCCAAAAAGCCTGAGCACCACCAAAAGCCTACACAAGCTCAGACCGTGCAGGAGAAAACCTCTGCTACAGAACTGGACCGGCCAGCGGAGCTGGAAGGTCTTCAGTTGCCTCTGCCCCCTCAGACCCCATCGATTCATGACAGGTCGCTTGTTCCTTCTCTACTGGAGGATGAGATTGAGCAAGATCTACCGCCTTTCCCTCATGTTCACCTGCCTTGCCAGTCAGACCTGAGACCAGTCCCTCAGTGGCCTTTGTTCCTGCCTATGCCATGGCTACTCCTACATTTAACCTTGAGTGGGATGATTATTTCCATCACTGGAGATCAACGTCTCCGCTTTGGATCCGAAACCTAAGGACAAGATCCTGGGAAGGTTGCACTCAGATTCTCCTGGTTTGATAGCCTTTCCGATTCTGGATGGACTGTGATCTGTATGGGGAAAAAATCACCCTCGATTTTGGCTACTTCGTGGGAGGTGGAGACCTTGTATTGCATTAGGGAAGAAGGTTGCCCCTTCTTATTTACCCACCCACCTCCCTCTTCGCTCATTGTTGAAGAGATGCAAACCAAGCATGGCTGAGAATCGCACTCTACACTTAGTGACAAAGAAGGCCATGAGCTGTCGGGAGAAAGCTTTACTCATCAGCTGCTGTAGGACTGAAAAATCTGTTTTACAGTTATTGCAGATAAATTCCTGATTTGTTGTATTACATCTGCAAATGCCTATTTTCATAGTACGATACACGAAAAAGACAGAAGATATCTCTGCTTTAAATTCAATGACAATATTTTCCAATATGCCATGTAACCATTTGGGCTGGCTGTGGCTCCCCGTGTTTTTACAAAATGCATGGCAGTGGTTGTTTCTCACCTTGGGTCTTTATGACACTGTCTATTCCCTTACCTGGATGGCTCCTAACAGCTCCCTCAAGGGAACTACTGTTGCAGTATATTCAGTGTGCATTACAATTGTGTAATAATCTAGGGCTAGTTGTTAATTGTAAGAAATCTAAGCTGGAACCTGTACAGTGGGTTCATTTTATAGGCTTCATTTTGGATTCTATTCAGGAATGTATCTTTTTACCTACAGATAGGGGATGTGCAATTCAGGCCCTAATATCTGATGTCATCCTCACCACTGACACCTCCTTTAAGGGTTGGGGTGCACATTGTCTAAACTGGACCATAAATTTGACCCTTCTTTTTGTTTTCTTTTTAATTTTTTAAAATTTTTAATTCATAACATATAGGAATACAGATACAATAAATTCAGATAAAATAAAAATAGTTTAATTTGACCCTTCATGGTGTTCGGATGGGTAGGGAATGTAAATTGCATATCAGTGTTTTGGAATTAACGTGCCAAAAACACAAGTGCCCAGCACTTGTTTCCTTTGCAGCTGTTATCTGGCAAGATTTTTCAAATTCAGATGGACAACACTGCCACAGTGTACTACATCAACAAGCAGGGTGGCCATGGATCAGTGAGATTATGCAGAGAAGCTATGGCTACCTGTTGCTATTATTATTTGTTATTTGAGTTTGTACCCCGCCCCCACCGAGGCAGGCTCAGGGCAGCTGACATTATAACAGCACCTAGGACTGGGTTACTCAACACTGTATGGTTCTACAAGCCATCCATGTTGCAGGGTCGGACGACACAAGGGCAAATGCTTTAAGCAGAGTCAGTGCTTCCCAACACGAATGATCTGTAGCAGACACTTATATCCAGCCCATCTTTCAGAAATGGGTTTCACCAGATGTGGATCTTTTTGCAATGAGACACAATTGCAAAGCTCCTCATTTCTGCTCGCTTGCAGAAAATGACCTTCTCTCTAGGGGATGCATTCCAAATTCGATGGCAGGGGGCTCTGTTCTGTGCATTCATTTCCTATCATTCACATACTATTGGCTAAAATACAGGCAGAGAGAACCAGTTGCATTGTAGTGACACATTTCTGGCCCCACCAGTTTTGGTTCACCACTCTGATACAGTTGGCACACAGTACCTACAAGCACTACTCAGAGGCTCCAGACTTGCTATCCAGGGAAGGGTGAACCACTACAATGTTCAGAGGTTATGCTTAACAGCTTAGAGGATTCTTCTTCCAATGTAGGTCTCTCTGCTGAAGTAAGGAAAGTGTTGGTGGAGGCTAGAAAACCACCGGATTGTCTTACAGATTTAAGTGAACAAGTTTCTTCACTTGGGCCCTATCTAAGTCCCCTGTCCCACAGGTCTTAGATTACTTTTGTGGGATTTAAAATCCTCAGGACATACCACAAGCTCCCTTAGAGTACATCTAGCTGCAGTTCCTGCCTCTTATATATGTGTAGAGTAGACAGTAAGAGTTTGTTCTCTCATGAGCTTTCCAAAAAGTTTTTAAATCCTCCAAAAAGTTTTTA